AGGCCAACGCGCTAACCGCTGAGCCAAACGAGCCAGGGCTATAGTATGTTTAAATAAAAAGATAAATTAATGCATTCAGATGGTGTTACCAGTGAACCAGAAAATAAGATGGTACTTTCAATTCATTTTGTGCTTTATTGTGTAGATGATTGAAGCTTCTGAAACAAAATTAAAGTGCTTAATAAGCAAAGATGAATTTTTGTAGTTTATGAATAAATGATCAGATGCTTATTTTTTATTTACATTTTAACTGGAAATATGTTTATTCATAATAAAAATATGCAAAGATGGGTCACAGTAAATTATGTATATATCTATATTTTAAAACTATTTTCTGTTTTGAAATGGTATTGTCCCTAGCAATAATACAAGGCATTATCTTCAAGTTCATTTCAGTTTTAAATAAATTTGTCTCTATAGAAAAAGAGAACTAGAGGGAGGGAGGAAGGCAAAGAGGGGGGTAAAGAGGGAGAGAGGGAAAGAGAGAGAGAGGGAAAGAGAATATTTTATTTATATATGTATGTGTGTGTGTGTGTGTGTATATATTTTTTTTCACCTAAGAATATTTTTCCTTTTTTTTTTTTTTTTTTTAAGATAGAGTGGGAGGGAGACAGAGAGAGGTGGAGAAATAAACTTTGATATGAAAGAGACACCTCTTTTGATTGTCTCCTTCATGATCCCAACTGGGCCTGGGGATTGAACTGGTGACAGAGGTATGTGCTCTTGATCAGGAATCAAACCCATGACTCTTTGGTTCAAGGGCTGATGCTCTAACTGCTGAGCCAAACAGGCCACAATGAGTTTAAGGGAGGCATGGGACATGGGAAAACAGTAAGATAGGAATGAAGGGAATTGTAGTTTAAATGTTAACATTTTACTTTCTTTCTCCTAAATCCAATGTTGGAACAAGTTCAAAAAAAATTTGTAGACATTTGAGAATATTTCTAGCCACTTTAGTTGCATAGAAACCTATATAATCCTACTTAAAAACCCCAGGCCCCAGTCTATATGGAATACCCTATAGTCAGCTTTATTTAACTTGACTATGGTTTCTATTTTTCTTCCAAGCCTTTGGCAGTTAACAACTATTTTAAGATTTGTAAGCCTTTGTCCAGCAGGTCTATCTGCTCATAATACCCAGTCCATCACAGAAGAGATTCATCAGGAGTCTGTGGTTCACAAGTCATCTTTTAAATGTTCTTAGCTTTTATTCACTGAATCTCAGTGGATCTTCTTGGATGGAAACCTTTGCAACCACAGTGATCAGACAACTAAATGACGTGTCTGGCACTGGTTGCTCCGCTCCTCCACTGCACACATCCCAGCGCAGGCGCTCTGACCCACACAGAGGTACCGACAAACCCGGTGCTGCTGGCCGTCTTTGTCTTCACCCCACACCTTACCTGCTGTCCGCTGCCAGAGCAGGCCAGATCTGTTCTTTCTCAAAGAAATGCTATATATTACCCAAATTTCTAATCTTCAAAGTACTTCAAATGGCTCTTCCCAACTTCCCATCAATAAACTCTTATGCCAATTTTCCATGAAAAATAAACAGATTTACTTGATGGAACTTCAAATGTGCTCATTCTGAGCTCAGTGCTGTCACACAGCTCAGCATCCCCTTGTCTGAAATGTCCCTTCTCTATTCACCTCTCCTCTACCTGCCTCCTTGCCTACTAAAATTCCATTAAGGCCAATGTCTGATGTTAGCTCTTTACTGGCTCAGAAAGAATAAGCAGCCTTCTGCTCCAGCACTAAAAGTCAACCTTCTCTTATTGCTTTGTCATGTGCCTCTTCTCTTCTTCGATTCTAAGCTCCTGAATGGAAACCATAGTTTATTCTTCTCTGCACACATTGAAGTATCATGTATTATGCCTTTCACATAGTAGGTGCTCAGTCAATACTGATTGAATGAATAATCAATGAAAGTGCAAACAAGCCATTTATTTAGCGGAAAACATTTATAAGAGATTCTGAAGAAACCCGGCTCAGTGTCTAAAGTATCTTCATTATGCCTCTCTAAAGAGGGTATGAATTTATTATTATTATTATTATTTATTTATTATTTTTTTAGGTAGAGTGGAAGGGAGAGAGAGGAACAGAGAGAGAAACATTGATGTGAAAGGGACACATCGAGTGGCTGCCACCCGCACGACCGACCAGGGCCGGGGACAAACTGCAACCGAGGTACGCGCCCTTAGCGGGAACCAAACCCGGGTCTCTCAGGACCTCAGGCCGACGCTCCAACCGCTGAGCCAAACCGGCCAGGGCGAGGGTATGAATTTATATGCAAGTTCCATGCTACCACATTTTAAGTAGAGAAAAGAAAAGTTTCTTTACATTAGTATTTTCTTCAACAAAAATAGAGATTATTCAAGACATCAGAAATTTCACTTATTTTGAGAATCTTTTCAAAGGAAAATGGGACTTAGAGCAATAAAGGTGATATAGCCATCTGTTTGGGTTTCTTTTCTACCAGCTCAGCTAAGGGAAATCTTACTTCATATTAGCTGAATCACCAATATGAGTTTGAAAAATAAAACAGTTTGAGAAATTGAAAATGCAAAGCTGTTCATATTTTTATCACTGTGTGTATACATTATGAACAAATGTGATTAATCATTCACTTTAAAACTCAGTGAACCACTAGAAACCCAAATGTCAGAAAACATAAGTAATGTCCATATTATAAAATAATATTTAATCATACTTCAAAGATGTGAGATAACATGATGTAATTCATGGTTTATAGGGGCAATCTTTTAATTTTATCTTTCTCTTTTTCCTTCAATCTTTCAACACATTAATTAAATGTCTATTAAATGCATGGCACTATACTAGCACAGAAATGCATGTCAAAAAGACAGTCTTTGTACAAATTTTACTTTTATGTTGTCCTTCTTTCCTCATTAAATTTAGTAGTTTTGGAAGTAAGCCTTGAATTTTTCCCTAAAACCAACTCTTCTGCTTGAGTTTGTAATTTTTGTTCATAGCATCATTTCTCTCCATTGGTTTTAAGCCACAGAATTACCAAAACCCTCAATATTTGTCACACAAACTATTGCAAAGTTCTTTCAATTACATGTACTAACTCCGGTATTTTTTTATACTTTAAGGCAGTGATTTCAACCAGTATACTGTGACACACTGGTGTGCTGCAAGAATTTTTAAAACATGCAGTTCTTAACTATTCAGTCAGGGGCACTGACCTCTGTTCCCTTAGATTGTCAAATAAAAGACTGACAACAGCCAACATGGCAATAGCCGTCTGGTATGAATCAAAATTATACTTTTTTTTTTTTGGTCAGGTCATCAAAATACATATTTTTTGGTTGCTGCAGAATTTTAGTAATTAGTGTGTGCCATGAGATGAAAAATGTTGAAAATTGCTGCTCTAAGTCATTACACAAATGTCTAGATTTATCTCAAGTTTACTACTTATCTAATAAGGATTAACGACTCAAACTGGCCCTTGAGACATTATGTAAAAGTGTTTCAATCTACTTTTTTCATCTTAATATGTCACACTTTTTGTAAACACACACCCAGTTTCACTCGCACTAAATTATTTATCACAAATATACCCCTCCCACTTCCTCTTCTAAATGCTTACTCAAGACATTCCTCCCTGGAATCCATTCTTTTCCTACACAACCACAGCAATTGTGACCGCCTTCAACACAGAGCTTAAACAATAATTTTTCTATAAAGCCTTAAAGAATTCTCACAGAAATTTGAGCTTTATCATCCCTGGAAACCTATATTTCATCGCGTGTATTTTCGAAGGGACTCCCAATAGTCAGCTTCACCTCGTCTACTAGGCCACTGGGTTATACATTCCTAAGGCAGAGCAGCTTTATTTACCATTGCTCAGAGTAGGTGCTCAAAACTTTTATTTGGTCGTTGATATTTCTGATTGCACATCTTTTCCAGAATCCTACATATCTCCCAAGTGTTGCATTAAAATATGGGAAGAGTAATCCACATGGCTCCCATACCACCCAGAAGAGCGATAATAAAACCTGTGACGGAAAGAACTCTGCTGTGGGGCTTTAGGCAAGGACTCTCTGCTTCTTTACTCCTCCACTGTCATGTTCTTCTCTCATTCTTCCACCGCTCTGCCCCTGCCGGTTAGGGCCACAGCGACAGTCTTTGGCATTCTGCTGGTCTCTGCCAGTAGCACTCAAAGATTAAAATACTTCGGACTCCTGTGATGTACTATGAAGACTGACAATTGCCTTTCTAGGGTATTGCTGGTCTCTAAGCTAATCTCCAAAGTTTGTGAAGAAAATAAAACTAAAAGTATTTAAACTGAATTTCAGTGTTTATACATACAACTCTCAAATGTGTCGTCAGTCGCAGGTGGTTCGGTTGGTTGAAGTATTGTCCTATACACCAAAAGGTTTCAGGTTGACTTCCTGGTTAGGGCATGTACCAAGGTTGTGGGCTCGATCCCCAATAGGAGAGGCAACCGATCAATGTTTCTTTCTTTCTAAAATCAATGAAAATGTATCCTCGAGTGAGGATAACAAATAAACAAACAAAACCTCTCAACTGACTCAGTCAACATAGGTGACCTTAAAGGAAAAGAACAAATAATTAAAGCTAATATACATGTTGTTGTGTGTTTGTATACGTATCTATCAACTATATACATTAAACAATGAAAACACCTCAGCAGTTTCCTTAAGCACCATTTCTTCCTCCCTCGGTCCCATTCATGCAGGCCTACCACACTACCACAAACAAGTGAAAACTCAGGGGAAAAGCAGAGGTGGTGAATCAAAGGTGAATATTATTATAACTACATTTTATTTTCCTGCTGCAAAGTTTTTGTAATAGCTATCCTAGTCTTTCCTAGGTTTTATTTATACCCATGACTTTGTGATAGAAAATGGTTTTCCCAATAAATGTCCATCTAGAAATATGGAGCGAATTAAAAATAATAACTGTAGTAAAACTGTAGATTATTTAGGGCGAATGGGTAGAAAACCACTTACCCCCAGTTGCCACAGTGATTTCACGTAGAAAATGGCCATAAAATGGAAAATCGAAAGACAGATTCACTCTCTGCAAGGAACAACACCAGAAAAGAAAATCAATAATGTACATAATAGTAAATGCAACATGAAGAGCCTTTCTCTTAAACAATTGATGCTTCTACTTTACACCGCTATTACTGCAGTGGACTAAAGGATTTTTTTTCCTGGTAATTACATGTTTGAAGTGTGTGAAAAGAATAAAGTTGGGCTGTTACAGTCTATTGGGCTGTTCTTTGCTTATGAAGGGCATCTGGAAGTTTCAACTCTATATCAAGCTATTCTCTCCAACATCACCACTGCCTTTTACATGTCCAGGGCAAGTCAGGTCAGTCATCATGGCGAGCAATTTATTTTGGGGTCCTTTTTAGATTGATTAGTCTTCTCCAGAAGAGTTCACGTTATCTGTCAAGTTATATTGAATGAAATCACAAGATTTTCTTTAACACAATTATGTTATCTAGTTTGTTTCCTGTTCATCTCACAATGAACTGCAGTTTCGTGGAACAAGTTATCTTGCACCTATAGATCTAGACCTGTAGACATTTTTAAATTTTAGATAAATCATAGTCGAAGAATAGAAAATGCTGGTTACTGGGCTACTGGAGAGCTACTTTTCCCTTGTATAGAGGACATTTGGGGAGATTTAGAAAGAAAGTTTAGAAATTTTGGCCCTCTGTTTTCTGAAAAAGGTCCTGAAGCTTGAGTTTTACATATATATTTACACATGTATATGTATATATAAAGTTTATTACTATATATTTTATTTATATAACATATTTTATATATAAGTACACATAATATATCATATATAATAAATGTATAACAAGAACAAAATACAAGAGAACAAAGCAAAACAAAGAAACTAAAAAACCCTAGATTTTTTGTATGCTGGAAATAATATGAAGCAGATGTATTATTACAAAAACAAAAACAAAAAAACAGAAAAATAGTGAATTGTAACAAAAATTATCCACTGAAATAAAATAATCCAGAGAGAAATTAATTAGTTGGTTTAGAGCCTAATAGCATTATAAACTATCTATAGTAAAGGCTATTGGTTAAAATTCAGCATTTTCCATTTTATCTCTCCCAATGTACACATTAAAAAAAATAGAGAAGTATATCTAGATTGAATTTAGCTCCTTTTAATTTTGCAAATGATTGCTTTTTTTTATATCCATCAGAGATTTCTAATAACTTATTTGGCATGAAATTAATCATTCAAAATTTACAGTGACTTTCAATTAGGTTTTCTTTCCTATTTAAAGAAAGCTGCATCTTCAGAATGAGTGTATCATCATTTTTACTTTTTGCTGACTAACAGGAACAATAAAATCCATTTCCACTGCAGTAACTGAAATGAGTGGTTACTAATAACACTAAAATAAAAGTTTCAATAGCAAAATCCTGTATCTCAAAGACATGTCAGAAATAATTTTATAAAAGCAGTTGCTACAGTATATTGTTTTCTATCATTCTAATTTATTTCCATGTTTGCGAGCAAATTGGTCAAATTTACAACCCTTGGGAATCTCACTTCCACAACAGGAGTTTGATTTAACCATATAATCAATAATCATGTCTATCACTTACCACCAAGGATGAACCAGAGAAATATGACATGAGTTTCTCAACCACCACAAATATTTCAGTACCTTTAGAATAAGATTGCAATATACAAATACATAAGCTAAAGACCTTTTTTAGCCCCATAGGTGTGGCTCAGTGGTTGAATATTGACCCATGAACCAAGGAGGTCACCAGTTCGATTCCCAGTCAGGGCACGTGCCCAGGTTGTGGGTCAAATCCCCAGTGGGGGGCATGCAGGAGGTGGACAATCGATGTTCTCTATCATTGATGTTTCAATCTCTCCCTCTCCATTCCTCTCTCTCTAAAAAAATTAAAGAAGACTTTTTTTTAGAAAGCAAATAAGTTCTCAAAAAAAATTTGAATAGCAACATCAAAGACTAAAATGCTCCCGTTTAAATGATCAATTTACCTTAGTTAGAACCATGGCTGCTTCACACTGATAAGAAATAACCATGACAATTTAGAAAGATCTTAACTTCTCAATAGTTGTGAAATTTACCCATTTCTCTCCGGGTACTACTGACACTCTTCCCCAAGTGTCAGTGACTAGTATAACAGCAACTTCCTCGTAGGTGTCTTGGCTTTAATTCATTCTCAATAATATCGAGCATATCCCTCCTCTACTTCAGATCTTTCAATCTACAAACTCACTGTCCCTGTAATGATGCCAAAATAGTGCAAATGGTTGTAAAGCCCACAACCAATTGGTCCCTGCTACCTCACAATGTTCTCTTCATGGTCTCTGTTCCAGATAGCCATCTAGAACATCTTTTAGTTCCTTGATACTGCCACCCTTAACCCTCAGCTCTGGTATTTTTACATGATGTCTCTTCTGACTGTTATAATCTCTCAACCGTGGTCAGTCATGGCTTCCATACTCTTTAAGCTTTGACTTAGTTTGGGTTACCTCAAATACCAACCCTGACATAAGGACTTAGGGGCAGATAGTTTTTTGAAAGGTGACTTTAGGAAGCATTTGCAAAAGAAAGTGGGAAACGTAAGATAAGAGGAACCAATAATAGGTACACTATTGACACTATTGGGTGTGTCACCTCTATGACCAGGTCTCCCCTTGGAGACTGAGAAACAGTAGGAAAAACATACCTCCAAATCATTTCATTGAAGGTCAGGATGGAACATTATCCATCATCTCCCATGCTCTATTGATTGACGGTTGATCCTGGGGGTGGCTAGTTCCCTTCTTTCCCCAGACAACCCTTGTTTGTATCCTCAGCCATAGCACTTGAGCTAGAAAGTTGCTAGTATGTTAGAAACTGGCCCCTACAGTTTTAGGTGAAATCAGGAGGCAGAGAGATGTGAGTAAAGCATCGACAGGGACAGCTCAGTGTCACATCCTCAGAGAGTTGTACCTTGACTTCTTGGCTCAAGTTATGTCTTCCTACTATACCTCACCTAGCACTCTCCACATATACACGGACACATAAAACAACAGCAAGACAGCCATATCATAACTGCTTCAGAGTAAAACTAACTCAGCAATGGAGTAGCTAAGTATGGCCCAAGTGGGAAGCTAGAATTTGAATCTCGTTTGATTGACAACAAAGGCAATGCACCTCATTATTTTGATATTTAAAACAAAGTGATTTAAAAAGTCACACTTATGTCTCTTGGCCATTTGTATGTCCTGTTTGGAGAGGTGTCTATTCAGCTCCTCTGCCCATTTTTTAATTGGGTTCTTTGTCTTCCTTTTGTTGAGTTGTATGAGCACTCTACATATATTGGAAATTAACCCCTTATCTGATACATCATTGGCAATGATGTTCTCCCATACAGTGGGTTGCCTTTCCATTTTGATGATTGTTTCTTTTGCTGTGCAGAAGCTTTTTAGTTTGATGTAGTCCCATGTGTTCATTTTTTCCTTTGTTTCTGTTGCCTTAGGTGATGTATCAGTGAAAATTCTGCTCCGTGTGATGTTCGAAATTTTGTTACCTACATTTTCTTCTAGAATTTTTATGGATTCACAGGTCACATTTAAGTCTTTTATCCATTTCGAGTTTATTTTTGTGTATGGTGTAAGTTGATGGTCTAGTTTCATTTTTTTGCATGTAGCTGTCCAATTTTCTCAACACCATTTATTAAAGAGGCTGTCTTTACTCCACTGTATGCTCTTGCCACCTTTGTCAAATATTAATTGAGCATATTGCCTTGGGTCCATTTCTGGGTTCCCTGTTCTGTTCCACTGGTCTATCTGCCTGTTCTTGTGCCAGTACCAGGCTGTTTTGATTACAGTTGCTTTGTAGTATAACCTGATATCTGCTATTGTGATCCCACCTACTTTGTCCTTCTTTTTCAAGATTGCAGTGGCTATTCGGGGTCTTTTTTGGTTCCATATGAACTTTTGAAGTATTTGTTCTAGTTCTGTGAAATATGTCGTTGGTATTTTGATGGGGATTGCATTGAATCTATAGATTGCTTTGGGTAGTATGGACATTTTAATGATGTTAATTCTTCCAATCCATGAACAGGGTATGTGCTTCCACTTTTTTATATCTTCCTCTATTTCTTTTTTCAATGTCCTGTAGTTTTCTGCAAATAGGTCCTTTACTTCTTTGGTTAAGTTTATTCCTAGGTATCTTAATGTTTTTTGCCACGATGGTAAGTGGGATTGTTTTTTCAGTTTCTCTCTCTGTGCTCAACATCACTAATCATCAGAGAGATGCAAATTAAAACAACAATGAGGTATCACCTCACACCTGTCAGAATGGCTGCCAACAACAAATCATCAAATAACAAGTGTTGGTGAGGGTGTGGAGAAAAGGGGACTCTAACACACTGCTGGTGGGAATGCAGACTGGTGCAGCCACTATGGAAAACAATATGGTGTTACCTCAAAAAATTAAAAATTGAACTTCCATTTGACCCAGTTATCCTGCTTCTAGGAATATACCCTAAGAAGCCTGAAACACCAATCAGGAAGAATATATGTACCCCCATCTTCATAGATGCACTATTTACAATAGCTAAGATCTGGAAACAGCCCAAGTGTCCATCAGTAGATGAATGGATAAAAAAGTAGTGGTACACATACGCAATGGAGTACTATGCAGCAGTAAGAAAGAAAGATCTCTTATCCTTTGAGACGACATGGAAGGACCTGGAAAGTATTATCCTCAGTGAAAGAAGCCAAGCAGAAAAAGACAAATACCACATGATCTCACTTATATACAGAATATAATGAACATAACAGTCTGAGGAATACGGTAGACCCAGAAACATAGAAGTAGGGCACAGACTGACATCCCTCAGAAGAGGAGGTAGGGGGTGGGGTGGGAAGCGATAGACCACAGAACTTACATGCACGTATACATAACCAACGGACATGGACAACTAAGCCAGGGACGGGGCGGGGGTGGGATGGGGAGGGGGTTGCCAATGGGGTAAAAAAGGATTAATATCTGTAACAAAAAAATAAAATAA